CAATGGAAACGGAACACTAAATTTGATCAGTACCGAAGTGAAACCGAATTGAGGGTTTCGGTGGAAACTAGACCACTCTGTGCAGGTTTGCGCGCAAATCTTAAGCCCGCTTTGCACGGTTCGCGTGCACTTACACTTTTTCCTAGTAGGTGTACTCTGTTTTCACGTGTACTACCAAAGTGTTTAAATGTTATTGTTTCAGTTGTCTGCGTGTTTTCCAACGTGTCTGTGTGTGTTTTTGTTCGTTTGTTTGTTAGTTTGTCCGTCTCCGTATTTTGTTGCATGTCTTAATGTCACGTCCCTATGTGTTCTCAAATTTGATTGGTCGTCTGTCGTCTTTTCTAAACTCTGACTTTTGACGTGTTTAAGTGTTTGTGAATGCATGTTTGTGTGTGTGTATGTGTGTACGCACCTTCCTATACTAGGGCTTTGTCTAATTACCCACTTAGGGTCGCATGTTCCAAAACTCTTCAAAACTGAAAAATAACTAAGCCACTGAGGGCTATATTCAAATGCACACTCATTTTGCGCATTTTTACAAAAATTAAAATTTAAAAATTTTAACTTTTTACTGATTTTTACCTTATCGGTCTTTTACATGCGCTTTTCTACATCAGCGTAGCTTAGTTACAACTTACAAAACGGAAATAAACAACTTTTAACGCGTTTGCGCTTTTTCAACTAAAAGTTACTAAAACTTTAAGCCGCCACCTTAAGGGTGCGTACTTTTTAACAAAAATAACTAAAACTAAAATTTAGCGCTTTACTTGATCTCAACGCTTTACAAACTACGCTGGCTGCGCTTATCAGCCACTAGACGGATCTTTAAGGTCTGTTTACGTTAAAAAACAGTCACTTTTGGAGATGTCCAAATTTTCGCGTTCTGAAACCGGCGTTCGCCTTCTCTCCATTGGTTGTTTGTTCCTCCGGTGTTGTGTCCCGCGTCCCTATGGCCGTCGGTGACAAGGTTAGCATCCCGGGTGAATTTGGACTCACCACTTTGACGTGGTGCCCGAACTTGCGTGTGGCAATGACTGGAAGAGCTGTGCCGGCGAGAACTTCGGTTCCTGGCAGGGTCTCCTTTGTCGGAGTAGTCTTCCACTAGCCTCCAGACTAAGAGTGAGTCCACGGGCGGCCGGGCTCGTTACCCCAGTGGGGGTGCCGGTCTAAGGGAAAAAAACCCTGACAGAAAACTATTCTTTTTAGCAACTATGGACAGTTCTAACAAAGAGGTATACTTATCGGACCAAGGGTTTCGGAGCTCTAGGTCCCGGCAGTTCGGGGATGATAGTTCTGCCCCCGCTCGGTCGTTATCCGGCAAAAGGTTGGCCACGGAGTACGACGCAGGCTCCGTAGTTTTTAATGCTACTGCGGGTAGAAGCAGGTTTTGGGCTTTCAGAGCTCCAAGCATTTCTGGCGCAATGGCGCCCAGCGTTGGGTCCGAGAGCAAGCGCTCCCGGGCATCGGAGAGCGAAATGGAGGCCTCGTCTGAGGAGGAGAAGAGTCGAGCTGCGAGAAGAAACTCGTTCCTTTGTAGCGCGCTCTCGGCCAATCGGAATCAAGACTCCTCTGTAGTGGAGGTATCTTCGGAAAACTCTATTTCGAGCTGTAGCCAAAGTAGGTCGAAACGTCGCAAGGTCAGCGCGGCGCAAAAGATAAAACGGGTAAAGACGGAGCCTGGCACTAAGCTTCGTACTGCAAAATTAAATAAACTTTACGCGTGCGCGACTATCCTTAAGAAAAGAATATAAAATAAAATTGTCGCTTCTTTGGGTGCGTTCTCAGTACACAAAACACATAACATAAAACTTACGCCTAACGCTCACTTTATCGTGCTAGTTCTTTTCTTAATGTCTCTATGCGGACTCTTACGGTTCGTTCACGGTTTTTCTTAGTCATTTCAAGAATTGTCCATTTTTTCGCCGTAGGAACCGGCTCTCGCTTTTTCTCCGCTCGTACTTGGTTCCTCCGCTGCTGGGTCTCGCGTTCCTAAAGCCGTCGGTGACAAGGTCCGGTTAGTAGAGGGTGGGTCACCATTGAAAGGGTGGTGTTGGACCCGGAAACCGCAGAGGGAATGTATTTTCTCTCATTGCATGCAGTTCCTCAACGGCGGCAGAGTTGAGGTGTGTCCCCTCGCTCCGTCGCAGGGAAGAGAGGAAAGAGGTGATCCCTTTCCTCTCTACAGTGGAGTGGGGCGCAAGCCCATGCTCTTACGGACTGTCCCGGATTGTTCTAACAAAGTATTGGGGCAATCTCAAAAGGGCGGCAGGTGGACACCGCTGTGGGTTTTAGTGGGTATTCCCCTTCCAATTTGTCGGCAGAGGTGAATCCCACATTACCCTGGCCTACACACTTGGTCTGAGCCAGGGTGTGCGTAAATGCATTTCCCCAGCGTCAAAAAAAAGGTTAGCATCTCGGGCGATTTTCTCCCACTTTGCCGTGGTGCCCGAGCTTGCGTGCTGGAATAATCCGAGGGGCTATGCCGGCGGGAACTTCGGTTTCTGGCAGAGTCTCCCTAGGCGGACAGGCTCTCGGTGAGCAGCCAGACTAAGAGGGGAAATAGGGGAAGGAAAAGCCTAATAAAAAACCCGGGCAGGGCGGGCTCGTCAGCCAAGTTAAGGCAACCGGCCTAAGTAAAAAACACACTGAAATTAAATCCAGCCTTATCAAAACGTATGGGATGTTTTATAAAAAAGAGCAGACCTTACCGGACCAAGTATCTCGGATTGCTAGTTCCCGGCACTCAGACGGTATCGTCCCGGTCATCTGTAGATCATCATCCAACGACGGGTCCTGCGTCGCTTGCCCCGCAAGGGCGGCGCAGGATTATGTGCCTGCGAAGACACAAGATACTGGCGTTACCGCGTCAGAAGAGAGAAGCTGTTCCCCTTCTCTCGGCCTCGTTAGGGGGCCAACGAGCTACAAGGGGAGTCAGGTGCGGGTTTCGTGGTGTACCAAAACCACCACTGAGCTCCGACAAAACGGAAAGCAAGGAGCCAAAGGGCGGTAAACAACAACATACCGCCCCCGCCCGAAGTGAGCCCCAATCGGAATCCTCGGGTGTGAAATTCGTAGCAACCTCATCCGAGGTGCTACAGACTCCTCTGCCGATGGACGCCGACTCCGATTCGGAGTTAGAGAAGGTGTCCGAGAACCTGGCAGGCGCCTCTATTAGGGAGGCAAAACATCAAAACTCCTCCCCTCCGCCCGAACGGAGGACAAATAGCCAGGGAAAAAGAAAGAGAGCAGGAAAGAACAACACAGGAAACCATTCCACTCTGTGCCGGAGAAGAAGAAAAGAGGGAGACGGTCATCCCGATCCTTCTTTCTTACCCCCCGCAAGCTGCTAAATCCGAGTTACGGACGGCCCTACTCGACGGGAAAGTACGTTGGGCTGCGCAAAGTTCAACGTGAGCTTAAGGAAGCGCTTGAGAGAGAGGAACGTCTGCAGGCTGACCTAGAACTCATGCAGACCGTTGTTGAGTGTCGCACAGTCAAGACGGTCTGTGACGGCCTCACGACATCCTTCTAAACAGAGGTTAAGATAAAAACGGCCAAGCAGAGCCAAGAGGTGGGAGAGATGACTACCCCCCAAATTGTGGACCGGGCCGCCATACTTGCAGACTCCATCTGCAAGATAGCGAGAACGTCCGGTAACCTTAAGGGGACGTATGTTCGTCACCTTAAAGAAGCGGCCGTTGAGCTCAACAACGCCATCGCTACCGTGGCGGGTCGTGTTGAGTCCGGCGAGGATGTTCGGCAGCTCATCACTCAAAATGAGCTGCTGAACAAAAAGGTCCGCGAGTTTGAGGGCCAGGTTACTGGCTTCCAGAAAGACAGGGACGCTGTCTAGTCTAAGTTGGACAGTGTCCAACAGAAAAAGAAAATCGGCGCCTCAATATCGAAATAGACGCACTCCACGAGGAGCTGAGAGACATGAGGAAGGAGCTCATGTTCCTCAAAATGGCCAAGCTCAAGCAGGAAAAGAGCCGAAATAAACCAACCGACCAGTTGATTACCCGGCTCCGCCTCCATTGCTTCGGACCACCTCGTCGCGGATGGATGTGGAAGAGTCACGAGCCGCCTCCGTCATCGGCGTCGGAGGAGGGTCTTCACGTAGAGGCTGCCCCCTCGTCTGCCAGAGGGAACCCTGGCACGGACCTCTCACGGAGCGAGCGGTCGGAGGAACCCGCGTCACAAGGCCATTTGTCTCCGCCGGAGAGGGGAACGAGGGGCCAGAGTCCCTCCGGGACTTGGAGAGTCGCGTGATGGACGCGATGAGGAGCCAAATCTCAATATTTTGAGAGCAGCTCTATCACCGACTCTCTTGCCCATCACTGGGCTCCAACGGGGTGGGTGGCCTTAAAGCCCTCCACCGAGAAAAGAACAGAGAAGACATTGCGAAAAAAGTGGGGACAAAAACCCTCTGCAGCGAGTGCCTCCCCGAGTAAAAACTCTTCTTCCTCTAAAGGGAAGAAGAAAAAGAAGAGGAAAAAACAGAAGAAGGTTATAGAAAGGGTGCAGAAAGGCGACAGGGAACCCGCTGGAGACACCAGAGAAATACGCGCCTTAGTGCCGTACCAATCGGGCCTATCTAACCAGTTCCGCAAACAACCCTCTCCCCCAGCCTCACCAAACGAGCCTTGGTAGAAAGAAGACAGAAGAGGAAGGAAGCACAGGGCCCTATAGTCCCAGCACCTGCTACTTCCTCTGCGGACAAGAACAAGCCGACTGCGCCTGAAGTCAAACCGAAACAACGCCTTGCCCAACCGAAGGTGGGCAAACTCCCTCGGTCTGCGGCCATCACGCTAACTTCCCTCATCGGTTCCAACGCGAAAGTGGGGGAGGTGATGACCCTAATAAAGCAGAGACTAAAGTTATCGGACTTCGGTATTACCGAAGAAAGGAAGTCTGGCCAAAGAGGTCCATAACCGGGGGGTCTCATTATCAAAATCTCCGGAAAAGACAACAAAGCCAAGGCAGACCGGCTCTGCGCCGCAATGTCCGCTCTGGCTGCGGAATTCGGGATACGGGTCGCGAGGCCAGTAAAAACCGCTGAGCTGCGAGTCAAAGGCCTCGACGACTTCGGTACCCCGGAAGAAATTAAGGAGGCGGTGGTAGCCACTGGAAATTGTCGGTCGACGGATGTTAAAGTCGGCCGAGCTCGCGCTTCTCCCAGTGGGCTACTCACCGCCTGGATACAATGTCCGGTATCTGCAGCCAAGAAGATTGCGGACGCCGGCGCCCTGCGGATAGAATGGGTGCGCGCCCCAGTCAAGGTATTGGAGCGCAGGCCCATGCAGTGCCACCGATGTCTCCGGCGCGGGCACGTCGTGGCGATGTGCACCTACACCGCGCCGGAGGAAGACAGGAGGGGCCGATGTTACCGATGCGGCAACCGCGATCACCGCGTCGCAGAGTACAAATCGGCGCTGAAGTGCCCGCTGTGCGCCGATCTTAGTCGCTCATCAGCCCACCGTCTGAGAGGCAAGAACTGCGCCCCGATCCCTCGAAAGCAGAAGCAAAAGGCGCAAAAGACCGCAAATAAGAGCGGATCACAATCCGCTCCCCAGGAGGCTCCCGCTGCCGTCTCAGGAGTGTCGACGACAGCGGAGGAGGCTAATCAACTCTCTGTTAGTGGTGCCCTGGAGAAGGCGATAGAGATGGAAATGCCACTAACGCAATAATAGCGGTCCTCTTTCAAGGCAACCTCAACTACTCCCGCAGGGCCGAAGACCTTATGGTTCAAAGCCTCGCGAAGTTGAACGAGGTCGTAGCGGTCGTAGCCGAGCCCTACAAAGTCCCCGACCACCCGTCGTGGTCGGGGTCAGAGGACGGCTTGGTTGCGACGTTTTTCCGGAATGGAAACAACGTAGAATCCTCTGTCCTCTCTCCATTGGAGAGTGGCAGAGGAATCGTGGTGCTTTAATGGAGGGAACTTGTGGTTGTGGGGGTCTATTTCTCGTCAACAGAGCCCTTGTGAGAGTTTGAGGCGTCTGTAGACAAGCTGAGTCGGATTGTCTGGCGATACTCAGCTCGTCCGATATTGGTTCTAGAAGACATTAACTCCAAGTCGGTGACTTGGGGTTCTCCCAGAACAGACGCGAGATCGACGGTAGACAATCTTCCGCCTCAAGTCTCTCACGGACGCGTCGGTCAAGCAGGGGGGAAGGGCGTTGGCAGTGTCGTTGGATATCTCCAACGCTTTCAACTCCCTTCCCTGGGACAGTATAGGGTGGACGCTTACTTGCCATGGTGTCCCACCCTATCTGAGAAGAGTCCTCGGGGACTATTTCCGCAGCAAGGAAATAAGATATACCGGCCGGTACGGATCACCGCAAAGGAGGGAAATGTGCAGCGGGGTTCCATGGGAGTCAGTGTTAAGCCCGCTGCTGTGGAACCTCGGATACAACACGGTGATTCAGGCCGCTCTGCCCAGAGGCCTGGGTGTCATCTGTGTTGGGAAATCAAGTATAGTAAGATAATAGTCGTGTTAGGAAGTTTGTAAAAAAAGGTGTAATTAGTATAAGGTCGCATACGTGGAAATTAGGAAGTTAAAGCATAAGATAATCACGTATGGTTGATTGAGACATAGTTAAATGTATTGTAAAAAGAGAGTGTTGCTTGATCAGCAAAGACGGCAGATCCGTCTCCGAGAGCTGATTAAGCAAGGATGAGCGAGTTGCGCGATCAACTCGCGCAACGTTGTTTATGATAAGACAAGGTGATGCTCTCAATTCGGTGATATAAGAAGTGATGTGACAGAGTTGAGGGCAGAAATTCGAAGACTACCGCCGAGTCGTCGTGCTAGTTGTAAGAAGCTAAGCTGTAAATCGTCAAATAAAGTTAGTTTAACTATTAAACGAAGGCGGAGTTACTTCTCCCCGAATCCAAACGGAAAATCCTGTAAAAAGAATCCGGTACCGCCGTAGCGGTACAACATCTGCTACGTGGATGACACCCTCGTAGTGGCCTCTGGGGCAGACTAGAGGAGGATCAGAATTCTGGCAGAAAGTGGCACCAACTGTGTCCGGGAAAGGAACATCCTTTTGCCTCTTGCCCTCCTCCGGCCACAACCGAGCCAAGCCCTCCTCCGGGGAGAGGACCCCGGAACCCCCTCTCCATCCTCCTCCCAACCGGAGGAGTCCCCGCCGGTCCCGGCACTTTGGGCCCGCCGCTTCCTCCTCTTTTTCGGGGAGGGGACAGACCTCGTCCCCTTCACACCTTTCTTGCCACCGGGTGGCAGCAAAGGCGCCGGAACTCCGGCGCCCCGCCTGGTGGCGATGTTCCTTTTGGGGATGGGGGCGCAACTTGCGCCGCCCATCCGATGGTTCGCTGGCTGCCCCCGGCTTGCACACAAAATGCACTTGGGGGCAGCCTTGCACGTAATGACGAGGTGGCCGTCCTCCCCGCAGCGGTAGCACGCCGTGCTCCGGTCTACCCCGGAACACTTGCGTGCCACATGGCCGTTCTCCAGGCACCAGTAGCACTGCATTTGCCGCGCCACCAGTGCCTCGACGAAAAAGCTAAATTACTCTACCTCTATCCTCTTTGCCCCCACGACCCGCCGGGCCGCCCTCAGAGTCCCGTACCCGACGGGGGAGGAGCGACCCAGCCCAGTGCAAACCTCACTGGGCTGGCAATTATCTGCCGCCGCTAAAGCGACGGCAATGTCCTCCGCTGAGAGGGGGGCATCACGTTTCGCACGCGAACTTCCGCGTGCTTGACGGGACGGGTGAATTTAACTCCCTCCTCGCCCTCGAACACTTTTGACGTCCTCTCAACGAGGGCTTCGGCCTTCTCCGCTTCTCCAGGCCCGGGTACCTGGAGGAGCATACCTCCGTTGGCCGCCCTCTTTATCCGGAGGCCGGAAATCCCGACCTCCTTCAAATCGACGGCGGCCGCCGCCTTCTTCATGGCTTCGGCGTAACTGCCGCTCTTCCCCACGGTAAGGAGGACGTCAGCCCCACTGGAGAGCCTGCCGAGCCTGGCCCTTTCCGCCTTCTCGGAGCGCTAACTCACGCCCACGGGAACCGCGGAAGGGCGACGTTTCTGTTTGGGGGGGAGGAGCTTTCTTCTCCCTTTTTCGCGCCCTGCGCTCTATCACCGTCGCCCAGGTAGTCGGGGCGAGTTCGGCGGCAGGTGCGCCCGAGGATTGAGGGACGAGCTCTCTCCTGATCAGAGAGAGGATTCGCTCCTCTATTGCCTCCCCGATTTTGTCCGCCAATAAACGGACGCACCTTTTTTCCGGGAGGTCTAGAAGGGCGTCTTCTCCTAGGGGCTCGATTGCTTCCTTCTCTGTTTGGACCCCTCGGGAGTCCGTCTTCGGCGGTGCGATAGACCCACGGGTAGGCAGGGTCAGTGCCGCGGTTGCCTGCGGGACAAGCGCAGGCTTATCGGCCTGTCCTGCACGCGGTCCCGAGTAAAGACGACGTAACGGCGTGTGTCCCGCCACGTCGTCAACAAAGGGCGCAGCCCGAGAGAAGAACATTACAAATTTTTCTTTCAAAGTAGCGAATTAGCCCGAGGGAAGGTCCCGGCAGAGTCTTTACCAGGGGTTCCGAATCCTTCCCTCAAACGAGCTAGGTAGACACACCTTGGAGGTTTTAGTGGGTATACCTCTCTCATCTCGCGGGACGAGAGATCCCACATAATCGTGACTCTTATCCTCCTCAAGGCCAAGGTATCCGTAATAGATTTCCTCCAAGTAAAAAAAAAAAAGGTTAAGTTAGGATCCCGGGAAAGTTTGGACTCACCACCTTGACGTGGTGCCCGGGCTTGTGTGGGGCAGTGACTGAAAGAGCTGTGCCGGCGGGTACTTCGGTTCCTGGCAGGGTCTCCCTTGCCAGAGTGGTCTTCCACAAGCCTCCAGACTAAGAGTGGGTTCACGGGCATGCCGAGCTTGTTAGCTCTGTGTGGTCAGTCGGTCTAGGAGAAGGAAAACTCCGAACTTAAATCATTCTTTCGTTTTTTATGAGAAATGAGTTGTAATACAAAGAAAGGTCTACCAAACCAGGGGGGTCGGATCCTCAGGTTCCGGCAGAAGGGAGCTATCGTTCCGGGCTCCTTCCCGTCGTCATCCAGCACCGAGACCCGCGACCTGCACCGCAGGGGTCGCGGGCAAACTTGCTACTGCTTGGGCCTACTCTGGGCGATGCAGAGACGGTGGTTGCAGGAAGACTTTCCCCGCTACCTGCAAAGGAAGGCTTTGCCCCGTGGATGGTGACCCTTGAGTCTGAGCTGGTTGGCCTTCGCGAGAAGTCGGTCAGCTTGAGTTGGACCTCTCGGCGGTTCGTCGAAAGAGAGAAAAAACAGAGCGTCTTGCGCTCAAGGAGCAGAAGGCCGCTGACCTTCTGAGAAATGTCCTGGAAGACCACCTCAACGATTGGGGGATTCCAATCCCGAGGTCGGCCAGGGACTTTCCCGGGGTTCTCCCTCAACCCCCCGCAGGAGGAATGGAGGGGACAAAAAGCGCTGAAGCGCGTGGTGAGTCGGAGGCTGCAGCGGCAACACGCCTTAAAGTATTGTCTGTGTCCGTGCAGACGGACATGGACGCAGAGTAAGTAAGTAGGAGGTGGTACTGAGGCCCTCATAGGTAGGGTTGAGTCCCTCCTAGAGACGACATAATTATCTTTATTTGCCGCTGCTCTCGTCTGGATCAGTCGCGGTTGCAACAATCCGGGCTTATCTTTGCTCGTCATCCGTATATGTCTTGTTTTCATTTTTTTTGTTGTTTGCGTCAATCTCGTCCGTTCGTTATAATCTCTTAGCGCGTGTGATGTTGAAATATCAAATATCATGTCTCTGTAGATAGATAGATAAATAATGTTTATTGATTCCTCTTAGGGTTACAATACTTTACACAAAAAAAACTTACATCTACTCTTACAGTTAACTTACACAAAAAAACTTACATTTACTCTTACATCTACTCTTACAACTACCCTTACAACTAATTTAAAAACTATAATACCTATATATACACACACACGCACTCGCTTTACTCTACTCTACGCAATGTGAATTTCCCTTTCCGGCAATCAATTCTATCCAGCTACTCCGCCATTGGTTCCCATACATCCTTCACTCTCATCCATACAATTACAAAATTCTTTCCACACATCCATTCACTCAACTCCCACTCACTCAACTTACATCCTTTCCTTCCTTATCACTTCTCTCCTTTTCCTTGCCCTACCTCCTTTTCCGTTCCCTTATATTCCTCCAACCTCCTTAACCATCCTTCACCCTCTCTCTCCTCCCCCAGCACCACTTCAATCATATCCTCCCAATTCCCTTTTGCTCCCCATACCCCACAATCTTCCCACACATGTCTCCAACTCTCCTCCACTAATCTACACATTCTACACACCCTTTCTTTCTCCCCTTCCCAGTATCTACCTTCTTTCATCTCGTTCCCCATCCTAAACCTAGCCACCCTCTGACATTTGCTTTCTCCTCACTTCTTTTTTAAATACCCCGGCACTCCTTCTTTTTTAATTCTCCCATATCATCTATTGTATATATATATACCTCAAACTTTCAATCTTTTTCCATCTCTCCTCATTCTATATCCTTCTCTCCTTCTCTATCAACTGCTGAGCTCTTCATTCTCCTGCCTCTCTACTTTCCCCCATCTCCGCTATCTTTACTCTTCTCTCCTCATAATATTTTATCCTGTCATTTT